ATTATCCCTGTATATTCAATGAATTCCAGAAGAGTCTTGAGGGGAGTTCGCATGATCTGGTCTGGTGGAATTTCATCCCCTCCCAGGAGTCTTCGTCTATCTGTTGCATATGACCTGCAGCGACACATAACATGCAGAGTAGTTTCGTCCTCTAATTCGCAAGCGCCAAGCTAGCGCTGGCGGACTGTTCTATTGTTAATTGAGGTACTTCCCTATTGAAAAACGTAAACAAGCAGGCAACTGCATGTGTAAGGTTACATGCAGACAGAAGTAAATTTCAGATCGAAAGAGGAGTTCGTCAGAGCGATACAATATCTCCGAAACGGTTTACCACCATATTGGAGTATGCCGTTAAAAGAGTAAACTGGGAAGAAATATGTAAAAATATCGACCGAGAGCTGTACTGAAGCTGAATAATTGATGAGATTAGTTTTCAATATTTTTTACTTAGCCTTTTATAATGACAGACATCACCCCCAGAGTAGTTGTTGAGAATCAGAACAGAGAACTCCCAAATATAGGCTGAACCAAAATCATTAGCAAATATTTATAATTATGTGATCGATTCTGGAGAACCATTGACAGCCTTAAAGCAACTATATTATTAATAATCGAAGAAACTTATCGATTAATTAAAGATTGACTAACTATTTTCTTTTGAATCAATGATTTACGTGCATTGTTGCTATACGCGATGTGTTTAATGGTAGGATACACGAATTGCAAATGCAACTACTTGCAGATTTATATCCTATAGTTCGGAGGTTATCTAATGCGAAAGAAAAGGTATAAATTTATGGTTAATGTTTAAACTGTAATTAGTAATGGTCGTGATCTATGAAAATAAAATGCAAACATTAGATACATGGAATGTTGTTGATTGGAAAACGTACAAATACATACAGAAAAGATATTTATTTTCTGTTTTGTTTTATCATAAAATCGATGGCCAATTGAAAATTAATTCCAATTAAAATTCGGACATGTTCTTCTTTAAATACAAAACGTTGTATATATTTCTTAACGAGTTCCACTAGACTTTAGATAACGACAAGCTGGATAAAAGTCTGTGAAACAAAAGTGTGATCATGTATAGCAAGAATAATTTTCCAGTGTTTCCCAAATTAGCTCAAATTATTTGAATTGGTTAAATTCTTTATGATATTGTTGTATGACGATTTTTTTAACTTAAATCAAACTGCTGGTATTCATGTTATTAAGTGTGACAGAGTGGAATGGTATATGTGAAGAAATTATTTTTGGTGATTAGTTCTAGAAGTGAAATAAATATTGATAAAGTATTACGATTTGGTGCAAACAAAAAATTGAAGAAGGTAGTTGAAAAAATTATAGATTCATCAATTATTTAACATAGCTATTTTCAATAAGCAAATATCTTGATGATGATGAAATGATCGCATCATTTCCATATCCATTCCAGCTCATCGTGCTCACCACATATACTTCTCAGATTGCAACATTGCAGTCCAGATAAAGCAAAATTAATCATTTGAAAAGAAAAATTGTAGTTGTTGTAAGGCATACATTAAGATTTCAATTATACGGGGTGTTTCAAAATTGGCGTCATTCCTCTGGAGGTGTTGTCTGGGGGTGTATTGGGAGTACAGAAAAAGTAGTAAAAAAATTATATGTTATTAAAAACTCAGATATTTGCAAAAAACTAGATCAGAAGCATGGAAACAATGCTTTTCAAGGTAATCTACCTAAATAACATTTTGTAAATACCTGTTCCTTCGTAATTATTAAAAACTCCGCTAACCATAGATAAACATGAAGCAAATAAAATAAAAGATACAATAACATGCTTTGAGGTTAGGATAACGGTGTCACCTTGCGGTCAGTGCTGCGACAAAACAGCCACCAGTGATATACCTAAATAGGTCACAACTGTCATCCAAAACCACCTGTTAAAGGTTATGTATCATTGAT